TGAGCAAATTGTAGGGGGTCTGGGCATAATTTTTATATCAGGAGAAAGAAGAGAAGTGTAAGAAAGTGGTTTTCCCCATGGCTTCTGACATAATGCTATCCTGCTCCTGTATCTTATTGTAGGACCCTGATTGATACTGCGTTGCCACTCCAAGGTAAATCTCTTTATTCTGAAAACAGCAGAAAAGAAGTCTGTGTACAAAGGCTTCTGTGCTTTCTTATCATTAGCAAAAACGCATTCCCTCCAGGAGTTTATGACTACCTCTTAGGAGGGACACACCACATCTGGCTGGTAGAGCAGCAGAAAGATACTCATCAGCCTTTACAGAGAGGTTTTGTGTTCTCATGACCTGAAGGCAGGTAATAGTAGAGAAAGAGGATAGTGCACAGGAATATTTGTTGTGAAGTATAAGCTGTATCATGAGTAAAGAAGTCTGATTATTCAGCAAAACATCAAGCATCTCTAAAGAGAAAAAAAGAGTATTATAGAGGAATATAATAAATATAGGTTTGTAAGATCTGCCTCCAAAGAGCTCTGTTCTCGTGGATTGGCAGAAAATTGAAGCAAATCCTCAGGGTCCAAAGTATAGATGTCTCATCTTTGTCAAAACTTTAAAATGCTTACTTTTGGGGGCCAGAGATATAGCCCAGCAGTGCAGCTCCTGCCTGGCAAGTGTGAGGTCTTTTATTCAGTTCCCTGCAACCCACCCCCCAAGAGAAATAAAGTGCTTACTTTTCTTAGTTACACCAGTAAGATGGGGCTAGTTTTCCACCATGTGGTTGAAGAAAGTTCTGTGATTCATTTATTTACAATACCACCTGCAGACTCTATAACATGTTAACTAATAATTGATGACTGAAAATCACTGGGCTGGAAATAAAGAGATGTGGGCCATAGTGAGGCTTTCTCTCTGAGGTCTTGGAGAAAATTGGCTTTAGTGATCAGCCATGAATATTTGGTAGTGCTATTAAAGGTTTGTATTACAGCTTGTGTCTAAATGTCTCCCTAAAGCCTTGTGCGGCAAAGGTGGAGCATTTTGGAGGTGGCTCGATCTAAAGTGCATGGTGCTAGGATTACAGGATTGATTCATGGTAGGACGCGAGGATAAAGGTGCCCTACCTTGGATGTGAGCACTACATGCCCTGGGCTGGTAGCCTAGATTATAATATAAGGCACCAAAAGAGGGCTACCAACATAAACTTTTGTACCTTTTTTGGTTTGGTTATATCCAGTATTAGGGTAAATCTGCTTCTTTAATATAAATTGTGCATTTGTTCAAGGCCAGAGAAAGACAGAAGGCAGACTGTTACATAGTTTGGGGCCTCCTTGGTAGTCTGAGCTCCTGTGAACAAAAGGGCTGCAGCTTTGAGCCATGTCAAGGACGGAGAAGAAAGGGACCCCAGAACAAAAGGGGTCAGTGTGAGCTTTCAGGTTTCCGCATCCACAAGAAACCTCAGGAAACTGACACCATCCTCAGAAATTCTCTTTTCAGTTAACTTAACAATTTGAGCCTTGAGGAGTGAGAGGCAGCTTAGCATTAGAATATGGTTTGAAATTGAGTTTTAGGCACACACTTATGTTGGAAGGGGCCTCACAGTCTTAAGTTCTGCATATATGCTTTGTAGTTTTCAAATTTTTGATGCAAAACAAGTAATGTTTTACATTTTTCAGAAGCTTCTTTAGGTACAATCTGTAGTAAATTGCACATACTTGGAGTCTACAGTTAAGAAGTTTTGGCATACACATCTGAGAAATCATCACAGTGAAGCTAAGGAGCACGTCCGTGAGTTCCCAGAGTTGCCTCAGCATTCTCTCCCGCCCCTTCTCCTGGGGCTGTAGCCCTCAGCAGCTGCTGATGTGCTTTCTGACCTTTATTAGCTGGATTTTGCATTTCCTGCAGTTTATATAAGTGGACTCATGTAGTTTGTACATGTTTAGTAAGGTTTCTTATACTTAGCGTA